GGTGGTGAGGAACCCTTGGGTCCCCAGGGTGCAGGTGGTGAGGAACCCTTGGGTCCCCAGGGTGCAGGTGGTGAGGAACCCTTGGGTCCCCAGGGTGCAGGTGGTGAGGAACCCTTGGGTCCCCAGGGTGCTGGTGGTGAGGAACCCTTGGGTGGTGCAGGTGGTGAGGAACCCTTGGGTCCCCAGGGTGCAGGTGGTGAGGAACCCTTGGGTCCCCAGGGTGCAGGTGGTGAGGAACCCTTGGGTCCCCAGGGTGCAGGTGGTGAGGAACCCTTGGGTCCCAGGGTGCAGGTGGTGAGGAACCCTTGGGTCCCCAGGGTGCAGGTGGTGAGGAACCCTTGGGTCCCCAGGTGGTGAGGAACCCTTGGGTCCCCAGGGTGCAGGTGGTGAGGAACCCTTGGGTCCCCAGGGTGCAGGTGGTGAGGAACCCTTGGGTCCCCAGGGTGCAGGTGGTGAGGAACCCCCCAGGGTGCAGGTGGTGAGGAACCCTTGGGTCCCCCAGGGTGCAGGTGGTGAGGAACCCTTGGGTCCCCAGGGTGCAGGTGGTGAGGAACCCTTGGGTCCCCAGGGTGCAGGTGGTGAGGAACCCTTGGGTCCCCCAGGGTGCAGGTGGTGGGTGCAGGGTGCAGGTGGTGAGGAACCCTTGGGTCCCCAGGGTGCAGGGGGTGAGGAACCCTTGGGTCCCCAGGGTGCAGGTGGTGAGGAACCCTTGGGTCCCCCAGGGTGCAGGTGGTGAGGAACCCTTGGGTCCCCCAGGGTGCAGGTGGTGAAGAACCCTTGGGTGGTGCAGGTGGTGAGGAACCCTTGGGTCCCCAGGGTGCAGGTGGTGAGGAACCCTTGGGTCCCCAGGGTGCAGGTGGTGAGGAACCCTTGGGTCCCCCAGGGTGCAGGTGGTGAGGAACCCTTGGGTCCCCCAGGGTGCAGGTGGTGAGGAACCCTTGGGTCCCCAGGGTGCAGGTTGGGTCCCCAGGGTGCAGGTGGTGAGGAACCCTTGGGTCCCCAGGGTGCAGGTGGTGAGGAACCCTTGGGTCCCCCAGGGTGCAGGTGGTGAGGAACCCTTGGGTCCCCAGGGTGCAGGTGGTGAGGAACCCTTGGGTCCCCAGGGTGCAGGTGGTGAGGAACCCTTGGGTCCCCCAGGGTGCAGGTGGTGAGGAACCCTTGGGTCCCCCAGGGTGCAGGTGGTGAGGAACCCTTGGGTCCCCCAGGGTGCTGGTGGTGAGGAACCCTTGGGTCCCCATGGTGCAGGTGGTGAGGAATGTGGACGTGCCCTGCGGGGTGGGTAGGGCTGCTGGGGGTGGAGAGTCGAGGGCGGCGCCCATACCATGGCTGGAGTAGACAGGGGAGGGAGTAAAAGGATGAAGATTGAGCGAGTTGGTAACTGTCATTTATGTATATGCTTGTTCTGTGGTTAGGCAGCCCCGGTAAGGCCCCCGCAGGGTCGACTACAATGTTTGGGATTACAGTTGCTGCTTAGGGTGGTGTACATATCGATTGTAGTGCCTGATGTGTTCTTGCATTGTAATTGTGATTCAGATGTGTTTGTGTCTGGGTACAGCACAAGAATGCTTGATTTTTTCTATCTAACACAGTACATACACAGTTACAAACCCATTAAGATTTCAACTTAGATTCAACAGAGCACAAGTAGTTGTTAAACACATATGGCAAAATCTTACTGAAGCGACCATACGAGTCATAAATTCTCATACTCCGCCCAAGTAAAACAGAAACAAGCAACACTTAGTGGGCCAGCCAGAGGCTTAGTACCCGCGCAGTGGGCCAGCCAGAGGCTTAATTAGGACCCGCGCAGTGGGCCAGCCAGAGGCTTAGGACCCGCGCAGTGGGCCAGCCAGAGGCTTAGGACCCGCGCAGTGGGCCAGCCAGAGGCTTAGGGCCCGCGCAGTGGGCCAGCCAGAGGCTTAGGGCCCGCGCAGTGGGCCAGCCAGAGGCTTAGGGCCCGCGCAGTGGGCCAGCCAGAGGCTTAGGGCCCGCGCAGTGGGCCAGCCAGAGGCTTAGGGCCCGCGCAGTGGGCCAGCCAGAGGCTTAGGGCCCGAGCAGTGGGCCAGCCAGAGGCTTAGGACCCGCGCAGTGGGCCAGCCAGAGGCTTAGGACCCGCGCAGTGGGCCAGCCAGAGGCTAAGGGCCCGCGCAGGAATATCCCTGCAAAAAAAAAAAAAAAATCAGCTGCAGGAGGCTAGTAGTGAGGCGGTTTGGTGGTGTTCTGGTTCAGTTGAGGTGCTCTGTCTGGCTTGGAGGAGACGTCTTCCCTATGGTGTTGGTGAACTTTATCGTTCTGTTAACTGTTGTTCGGTGGTCGAGGTGGTTTGTTAGTGGAGGGTAACAGATCAGCCTTACATTTTATGTTCTCACCTGATTTTTAGTCATAGTTGATTTGTTTTTGTATTGAGGCTGGTATTTTTCCCTCTGATTCCATGCATGACTAACCATCCTGTGAGATGGGAATATTGGATGAACTTATAGCCTACTTTAGTCAGTGAATTTATATAGTTTAGTCAGAACCGGTTTGTTTTCGTATTAAGGCAGGTATTACCCCCCTCCCTAATTCCATGTACAACTAACCATCTTCTGAGATGGGAATAATAGTTGAACCTATAGCTAGTTCTTGATCTACACTGTGTAATATCTCACATAGAATAGGCTAGCAGCACATTGCTGTGTATACCTAATTTTGCTAATTAAAAAAAATTGTTTGAGGCTCTCATGCGCATATTGTAGATATTACTGTAGTTTGCCAGGTTTCTTAGTTTTGTCCCATTCTAGTAGTTACGTTCGCTCTTTCTAGTTGTCTTGTGTTGACTTAGGAGACATAACACAGGAAAAGGGAAAGTTGTTCAATTTCAATTAAACTTTATTTGCTAGTTGTATATGAAAAGGGCTGCAACTGGTCCAAGTTTTAGTATCGCAGCCCAAATAGAAAGGGAGAAAAAAAACTGAATTTCAACGAATTTTACACATTTTCAATAATTTAGTACAACCACAAGTTTCAAATTAAATCATTTACATGACACTCATCTACCACATTAGCATATAATAAGAGATTTTTCAGAGGGGATTATCCAAAATATGTTTAGTTTTACTAATACAAATAGTCCAAATTCTCCAAAAATTTATGCCAATATTTCATGTTTGCAAATATTTATAAACTCAATAAATGAACTTAGGAGTAAAGTTTTATAAAGAGATTGTAGAGACGTAAACTCTACATATAAGATGTAAGTTTTATGTAAATTGAATAAAAAATTAAAGAGAACTAGCAATTTTATGTTAATTGACAATAAATGAAGTCAGATTCTGCCACCTGTGGTTGAGGTTGACATCAACCAATTTCCTCCAAAATTGACACCCTTAAAGATAGGCTTACGTTATGTAAGGTGTATAAACTTCATGCAAATTGCCCGATAAAAAATACTGTATGAGATTTTTTCATAAAACTAATTATTAAAATATTTTATTGTATGCTATTGTGATTGCTTAGAGTCATAGCTCTCCTCTCACTATATTATGCACTAATCTACCCCTATCTTAATTATGGTATCTGTGCATGGGGGTCTACCACTGCAAACCACCTTAAGCCCATCATCACACAGCAAAAATCTGCTATCAGAATAATAACTAACTCTGCTTTCAGACAACACTCAGCTCCCTTGTTTAAATCCCTAAACTTGCTAAATATTAACTCCCTCCACACATTCTCTTGTGTCAACTACATTTACAAGACCCTGTTCTTAAATGCAAACCATGCTCTGAAATTCTCCCTGGACAGATGTAATAGGACCCATTATCACCACACCAGAAATAAATATCTCTTTGATATCCCCAGGGTCAAACTTAATCTGTGTAAACACACTATGCAAATTAAGGGACCTAGTCTATGGAACTCACTCCCTAGTGAATTGAAAAACTGTAAAACTTTTGCCTTATTTAAAAGCAAAACCAAAAAGTACCTAACTTCATCTATTTAGTTTCCTACACTGAGCTTTAAATTTGCTCTGTACCTAGTGTTACCCAATCTCCTAATTTTTATGTAATATCAAACAACCTTATCATTGTGTTCATTGCTGTCTTCTTTTATGTGCTAGCCATATGCTGTATTGTGACTACCAATTTTTGTCAACTACCATCCAAGCTGTCATTGCAATCAATCTTATATTGTTTCTGCTGTATTGTGCCTACCAATTTGTTGTCAACTACCATTTTAAGCTGTCATTGCAATCAATCATAGCTACCTATGTGCTTTAATATACTGTACCTATAATTTTCTCTCATCTTTTTTTTTCATTCCATGTAATCTGTTATCATTTTTTGTCTATAAATTTTGCAAGTATTTACCTCCTTAAAATTTTCTTAGATTAAGGACCTGCCCGAAACGCTGCGCGTGCTAGTGGCTTTACAAGACTGTAATTACCATATTTGTATCCTCACATTCCTTATGTACATTCTTGTATATGCATAAATAAATAAATAAATAAATAAATAAATAGACATGATTTCAGTTGACACTTGTGTTTGATGTTAATTTTTGACCATTTTGGAAAAATTTTGACACAATTCAATATTAATATTTTTCTCCCTTCTTATTTATGCTACGAAGTTGGACCAGTTGAACCCAATTTCATATACAACTTATTAACCAAATTTGATTGAAATCGAACCAGTTTTCAATTATTGCATATTCAGGGGTTATGCCCCACTTAGTGTAGTTGAAAAATTAGGTGTGGAGGGATTTCACAAGTGGTTGCGATGTGTATGGGGTTATTACATGAGCTTTGTGTTGTTTACCGTGTTGACTTCTGTCACGTGTTTTACTATTTTTATCTGTAAATATGTTATCTCATATGTTTTATTGTAATTTTATAGACAAAAAATGCAAAGAAAAACACACTGCCTGTACGGCAATTTTGACTGATGTTTTGCATCATCAAACACAAATCTTTCATTTTCTGTTTCTGATGCATTATATTTTGTCTTTGACACATACAGGTAACTGTGCGAACACAAAGGGTGGAGGCTGGTGGTATTATAACTGCCTGTTTAACAACCCCACCACCCCCTACAAGGAGGGAAGCCTCCACTACACATGCTACCCAAACAGCGTGGTCAAGGTCACCAAACTCCAGATGAAGATCCGACCAGTCATCTGCGACTCTGCCACCAAGACCGTCTTCCTCAACTCCGGACACTGCAACGCTTGTCAGTAGTCTAACAACACGACCTGACCTGACGCAAGGACACGGACCAAGCTGGCGCTGATACCGAGTGACGCAGTACGCATAATTCCCCCCCACACACACACACACCTTCCCTAACTAGAAGTGCCTAGAGTGACTAGTAACTTGACACGAATTGACACGCTGGTAATTGAAAAGGTGTTTTGGTATGCTGCACACTTGCTTGAATTGTAATTCACATTTGTTTTGAATGTAATTATATAATATATATATATATATATATATATATATATATATATATATATATATATATATATATATATATATATATATATATAAAGTACTATATTAATATCTACACCAGAGACAGATAGTATACGTCTTCCACGAGAACCAGAGCTACACTAACAACACCAACAATAATGACGGTGGTCAGAGCTACACGGGATACATAGCAACACAGTTGGACACACACAGCAACACAGTTGGACACACACAGCAACACAGCTGGACACAATGCAACTCAGGGGAACACAGGGGGCACAGAGGCACAGAGCATCACAAGATACACAGCAACACAGGGAGCACAGAGCATCACAGGGGATACACAGCAACACAGGGGGCACAGAACATCACAGGGGATACACAGCAACACAGGGAGCACAGAGCATCACAGGGGATACACAGCAACACAGGGAGCACAGAGCATCACAGGGGATACACAGCAACACAGGGAGCACAGAGCATCACAGGGGATACACAGCAACACAAGGGGCACAGAGCATCACAGGGGGCACAGAGCATCACAGGGGATACACAGCAACACAGGGGGCACAGAGCATCACAGGGGATACACAGCAACACAAGGGGCACAGAGCATCACAGGGGATACACAGCAACACAAGGGGCACAGAGCATCACAGGGGGCACAGAGCATCACAGGGGATACACAGCAACACAAGGGGCACAGAGCATCACAGGGGATACACAGCAACACAGGGGGCACAGAGCATCACAGGGGATACACAGCAACACAGAGAGCACAGAGCATCACAGGGGATACACAGCAACACAAGGGGCACAGAGCATCACAGGGGATACACAGCAACACAAGGGGCACAGAGCATCACAGGGGATACACAGCAACACAGGGAGCACAGAGCATCACAGGGGATGCACAGCAACACAGACCTTGGCCCCCCCACACCATCACCTTCGTCACCACAATACTTGGACATCTTCAGTGGTAAAGAACACCTTTGTTCTCACCATCTAGTATATAGAAAATTTAAATAAAATGTACCCGTAACTGCTGATGACGTCGCCCCGGTAACCTTTGTGATGAATATAGTCTGCAATATCCTTGTTGGATTTTATTATCCCTTTCACTGTTAAGGCACTGTCATGCACAGTGCCAGGAAGCTCACACATACTTAGTGTTGATGCGTTCGAAATTCAGAGTCAAGTTGTTACGTCATGCACAGTGCTGTTGATCTCTGTTGAGTACGGCCTGTGAGCTACGACATACACAGTGCCTCTAATACCCAGTGTGCAAATTGATAATGAACTCCAGAATTCACAGTACCACTGGGTATCAGAAATGTTCAGTGGGCACAGGTCATGGGCGAGTCTTGAACATGGCAAATGTGACCTCAGTGGTGCCCACCAGCCTGAAGAGATCAAGATGTGCCCCTAGTGGTGCCCACCAGTCAGGAGGGACCAAGGTGGGACCTCGATATAAACCTAACATGAATATATACGCAGGCTGCCTGTCTCCCGACAAAACTAATTATTAGTACTAATGCCTAAAACTAACAATAGTTAGCATGCATTTTGAGTCATAAGTAAGTTTATCAACACCCACGTCAAGATGTAGTTATTAAAAGACTGGGGTTGAGTGCCCCATTAATTACTGGGTAAACCAAACCGTGGTTAACCTGACAGACCGTAATTGGACGTACACATCGTCAACAGTGTTATGACAACTGTGAAGTCATTTATCAATATGTAGAATACTTAAGACAATGATGCTGTAAAGCATTAATGGCCAAATTATGCATTTGTCATTTCAATACTGTGCGAGTGAAAAACAACTGTTTTGTAAAATTAATATACTTTAAACGTATAAAAATGGGTCCTTGCAAATAATAATGTGACTGTCAATAGCCTTCAAATACTTGCAACGGCTAACAATAACTACTCAGGAGTTAGGCAACTGTTGTGGGCATCGAATTAGAAAAAAAACACCCATCATATGAAATGAAATTTGAATTATATTGTACCGCCAAATCCATCAGCCAATCAGAAGGCGTCAAAAGGCCAACAGCCAATCACAGGCGTCTTCCCTCCTCACGGACGCCAGCAGCCCGCAGTAGCCATCAACGTGTTGGAGGAGGAGGCCGTATTTTTTAATGCTGCGGCGGCTATTTTCCTCTAGTGGGCGACATAAATTACGTTGCGTGTCACATTTAGCTCAGAAGACGTCGGTGCAGCTGAGGAGACCAAGTACACCTATTCTGGCACCTTTACGAAGATTAGAAAAGGAAAATTTCTAGACATTTGGCGTGAAGATAGCAGACAAGACCGAGGTTGCCATCTTTCCTGGCGAAATTCACCGTCAGGAGACACCAGGTTTCCTCCTAGTTTCTCTGCTCATCTCCTTGTAAGGTAAATAATATCTGCGTTTGTTTCCAAACCTGAACGATTTAGAAGTTATGTCCTTTTTGCTGGGTGAAAATTGTTTTCTTAAACAAATTATGTGCATTATTCCATTACATCTTTATTTTCAAGCAACTTGGTTTCATATGAAACAAAGTTTCTGGAAGAGAAACTTTTTGTTGGCATGAAGGGCAGCGACGACACTACTACTATTATATGGGCCTTTGTGGTAACTTTACTCCCTCTTCACCTGCTAACATTTGTGTGTGGGGGGGTAATGGGCTGGCTGTCTGTCTAGTGTGTGTGTGTGTGTGGGTAATGGGCTGGCTGTCTGTCTAGTGTGTGTGTGTGTGTGGGTAATGGGCTGGCTGTCTGTCTAGTGTGTGTGTGTGGGGGGGTAATGGGCTGGCTGTCTGTCTAGTGTGTGTGTGTGGGGTAATGGGCTGGCTGTCTGTCTAGTGTGTGTGTGTGTGGGTAATGGGCTGGCTGTCTGTCTAGTGTGTGTGTGTGTGTGGGTAATGGGCTGGCTGTCTGTCTAGTGTGTGTGTGTGTGTGGGTAATGGGCTGGCTGTCTGTCTAGTGTGTGTGTGTGTGTGGGGTAATGGGCTGGCTGTCTGTCTAGTGTGTGTGTGTGTGGGGTAATGGGCTGGCTGTCTGTCTAGTGTGTGTGTGTGTGGGGTAATGGGCTGGCTGTCTAGTGTGTGTGTGTGTGGGGTAATGGGCTGGCTGTCTGTCTAGTGTGTGTGTGTGTGGGGTAATGGGCTGGCTGTCTGTCTAGTGTGTGTGTGTGTGGGGTAATGGGCTGGCTGTCTGTCTAGTGTGTGTGTGTGTGGGTAATGGGCTGGCTGTCTGTCTAGTGTGTGTGTGTGTGGGGTAATGGGCTGGCTGTCTGTCTAGTGTGTGTGTGTGTGGGGTAATGGGCTGGCTGTCTGTCTAGTGTGTGTGTGTGTGTGGGTAATGGGCTGGCTGTCTGTCTAGTGTGTGTGTGTGTGGGGTAATGGGCTGGCTGTCTGTCTAGTGTGTGTGTGTGTGTGGGGTAATGGGCTGGCTGTCTGTCTAGTGTGTGTGTGTGGGGTAATGGGCTGGCTGTCTGTCTAGTGTGTGTGTGTGTGGGGTAATGGGCTGGCTGTCTGTCTAGTGTGTGTGTGTGGGTAATGGGCTGGCTGTCTGTCTAGTGTGTGTGTGTGTGGGGTAATGGGCTGGCTGTCTGTCTAGTGTGTGTGTGTGGGGGTAATGGGCTGGCTGTCTGTCTAGTGTGTGTGTGGGGGTAATGGGCTGGCTGTCTGTCTAGTGTGTGTGTGGTGGGTAATGGGCTGGCTCTCTGTCTAGTGTGTGTGTGTGTGGGGTAATGGGCTGGCTGTCTGTCTAGTGTGTGTGTGGGGGTAATGGGCTGGCTGTCTGTCTAGTGTGTGTGTGGGGGTAATGGGCTGGCTGTCTGTCTAGTGTGTGTGTGTGTGGGTAATGGGCTGGCTGTCTGTCTAGTGTGTGTGTGTGGGGGTAATGGGCTGGCTGTCTGTCTAGTGTGTGTGTGGGGGTAATGGGCTGGCTGTCTGTCTAGTGTGTGTGGGGGGTAATGGGCTGGCTGTCTGTCTAGTGTGTGTGTGTGGGTAATGGGCTGGCTGTCTGTCTAGTGTGTGTGTGTGGGTACTGGGCTGGCTGTCTGTCTAGTGTGTGTGGGGGTAATGGGCTGGCTGTCTGTCTAGTGTGTGTGTGGGGGTAATGGGCTGGCTGTCTGTCTAGTGTGTGTGTGTGGGTAATGGGCTGGCTGTCTGTCTAGTGTGTGTGTGGGTAATGGGCTGGCTGTCTGTCTAGTGTGTGTGTGGGGTAATGGGCTGGCTGTCTGTCTAGTGTGTGTGTGTGGGTAATGGGCTGGCTGTCTGTCTAGTGTGAGTGTGGGTAATGGGCTGGCTGTCTGTCTAGTGTGTGTGTGGGTAATGGGCTGGCTGTCTGTCTAGTGTGTGGGGTAATGGGCTGGCTGTCTGTCTAGTGTGAGTGTGGGGTAATGGGCTGGCTGTCTGTCTAGTGTGAGTGTGTGGGTAATGGGCTGGCTGTCTGTCTAGTGTGAGTGTAAGTAATGGGCTGGCTGTCTGTCTAGTGTGTGTGTGGGGGTAATGGGCTGGCTGTCTGTCTAGTGTGTGTGTGTGGGTAATGGGCTGGCTGTCTGTCTAGTGTGTGTGTGGGTAATGGGCTGGCTGTCTGTCTAGTGTGTGTGTGGGGTAATGGGCTGGCTGTCTGTCTAGTGTGTGTGTGTGGGTAATGGGCTGGCTGTCTGTCTAGTGTGAGTGTGGGTAATGGGCTGGCTGTCTGTCTAGTGTGTGTGTGGGTAATGGGCTGGCTGTCTGTCTAGTGTGTGGGGTAATGGGCTGGCTGTCTGTCTAGTGTGAGTGTGGGTAATGGGCTGGCTGTCTGTCTAGTGTGAGTGTAAGTAATGGGCTGGCTGTCTGTCTAGTGTGAGTGTGGGTAATGGGCTGGCTGTCTGTCTAGTGTGTGGGGTAATAGGCTGGCTGTCTGTCTAGTGTGTGTGGGGTAATGGGCTGGCTGTCTGTCTAGTGTGTGTGTGGGTAATGGGCTGGCTGTCTGTCTAGTGTGGGTAATGGGCTGGCTGT